GTCTCGAAGACCATTCGGTGCAGTTCACAGCCCTGACATTCGTAAGACTTAGACTGTTTCAGTGTCTGATCTACACACCCGCGAAGGTGGGGAGACTGTTTCGGGAAAGTATTGCAAGGTCATGTTGGCATTCGTGACGTTTTAATAACCCCATTCAAATCATGCCATTTCATCAGCCATGCGGTGATCAAGGCCAAGAAAAGCGTGATGATCGAGTCGTCCATACCTGGCGTTCGTGAGCACGATTTCCGGATATAGCGACCGTCAATTGGCTTTCAATCAACCGTGCGCAAGGTACGATGACGCTACCAAACATTGACGTATCTAGAAGTATGTTTGGCAAACAGAGCATTGTGTTGTTTGGAGCAGCTTTAACCTCCTTAAGGTGTGCCAATAGTTATAAATGAGCTTGTTTCGTCATATCTAATGCTTTCTTCAATGTTTTCAACTGTCAGATATTCTCTTTAAGTTTCTTTTCCCCACAAGGTGTGTTCTGGTATGATGCGAAGCTGAGCAGGGCCATTTTTCTGTGAAATTCGACCTTTGACCAGTCATAGTGGAGTAAATTGTTAAATTAACAACATGAAAGCTAGTGTCATTCGCACAATCTGGTTAAGACAAATCCAGTGGTGTTTTTCACTAAGCTCCATCTTTTGGAAACGCCAGAGGGTGACATCAAGCCCCCCCCCCCCCCCCTATCAGTTTGCGTTATAAGAACGGTGAATTAGGGAGACGGTTAAGAGGACAGGTCAGATCAGTTGTAGTTTGTGAGAGAGAGGCGTAAGCGTTTTGGACATCTGTCGTCTACAGCCTGCTCAACTTCGATTGAGTCTAATTGACGTGTATTATATTTGGGAATCGTGCTCACGAACGCCAGAATGAACGATTCGATGTATTTACTTTTCTTGGCCTTGAACGCCACATGGCTAGTGAGTTGGCAGGATGTCTATGACGATTATATGGCGTCATGCATGCTTGAATGGCCTTGACACAGTCTGCACGAAAAAAATCTGCACATCTCCGCGGGCGCGTAGCTCAGAAACTAGTGAGATTTATGTCTTAAGAATGGCAGGACTGTGGTCTGCGCCTAATGGTCTGAAAGTAGCTATTTCAGTTCAAACCCCTGTATAAATGCAGAACACTGCCGTCAAGTGTCGTGAATTATTTTTCACAAATTCCTGACTAATGCAGGTTGAACTGAAGGTATAAAAGCCCGAGGCCGAGCCCACGTCCACCTTTTTAAAACGCTGAATTGTGGGCGGAGTTCGATTCCCTTGTAAAATGAAACGATTCGTGGGATACGCCTGGCCGGAGAAACCTCAAGTAGCCTGTTATTGTCCGATGCCACGTAGTTATGGGTTTGCGCCACTTCGTGCACTGCAGAGCAGATGTTTCATTTACCATACTGATGCCTCAAAGTCGACTTAACGGCCCAGCGGGCGGCCAAGTTGACCTGTAGCGAATTTTCGGTCACGATCGTGGCCAAACTACTCAACTGGGACTCATTTTCTGCACGCGATGCTCATTCAACTGCGTGGTAAGCGACGGCCGATGTCGCATCCACGCGTCTGGATTTTATAATGTAAAGCCAACAAAGGGAGGGCCTTGCCTTTACGCGATATTTCCAAGACCGAGCCATTCTCATGGGACGGAGCAGAGCTTTTGCGCGAACTTCCGACCACTCAATCAAGAGGCCTTATAAATAGCGTCATCGCGCCCAACTTGCTCACGCCTGGCCGCGCCATCCCGCGGCCCACCGCGCCGGCTGGGCGTCCAACGCTGTCACACAAGGGAGCGTCTCGATCAGTGTCTGCAGTCGCCGGCGGCTGGTCGGGAGCTGGCTCACTTCGGCCGGCTGGCACGGCCCAGCTTCGGTTTGAAGGCAGTGTTCCACATTTGCATGGGGTTTTTGAAGTGAAATAGCCCCCTTGAAGATCATTCGGTGCAGTTCACCGCCCCGTCAGTCAGTCTTAAGACCCAAGCCCTCCTAGATTTTTAGCTAAACGCCGGCGAAGATGTGGGGACTGGTTCGTGCAGACACTACGTTATTTATAGGTCACCAAGGCATCCATTACGCTATAATAAAGCCATTCAAATCCTGCCATTCGCTTCGCCATGCGGCGATCAAGGCCAAAAATTACATTTGTCGAGTCTTATATGTAGTGTCCGTGAACAAGATTTCCAGATAAAGCAGCCATCTATTGGGTCTCAATTCATGTTGCGTAAGGCATAATTAAGCAGTCAATAACAGTTTGATGGGAATATTTCATAAATAGAGAAATTGTGTTTTCTGAAGTCTTTTTCACAGCAACGTATGGCAATAGCTATAAGTGAACTTATTTCATCATATCTGATACTTGCCTCATTACCTTCGAATGTGGAACATTTCCTTTAACCTGTCTGAGTCAGGTCTCTGTGAGCATGGAGTCTGATCGGGCAGCATCCGTCCGCATTGTTCACGGATCAGGTGTTGCAGCGTTCAAACAGGGTGAAAATCCCAAAATCGTGATGGACCCACCTCTTTCACACAGCTGTTACGAAGATAAGGTGGCAAACAAACACATCATCAGCTTTATAGGCAGTCTAAGCGCTAAGTGCGCACTTCGTCCACCGCGTTACCTAAGAGCATCGAACTCCGGCTCTGTCCCATGCACGTTACTATGTCAGAGTGTATGGTATTACAAGTCGTTCAAACATCTCAAAACTGACCGCGTAAGTTAACGAGGCCCAATTCTTAACGAATAGCCCAATTCTTGTGGATTGACCCCATTATGTGCAATATGATTGCCGATGAACAGTAGCTACTGTGTTCAGCTTCAGAAACTTTGATACAGAGATTGGGTCCACTGAAAAATTGTTTTGAAAAAAACACGAGATAGCTGAGATCGACTTTCCCGTCACACCTCACCTGCACCTGCTCCGAACTTAACACATGTCTGTAGCATAGTCCTGCGGAAAGAAAGTATGTTTGGTACACCCACGATGTCAGTATATTGGTTTGACTGGGTTACGACTGAAGGCAAAAGGCATACGCGACAATATTTCACTTGCTTAAATTCGTTTTGGCTTAAAAACTGCACTCGGAGCTGTCTACTCGCTTAAAAAAGACAAACTCAAAACTTCTTGGCACGTTCAACCCTTTAAGCCCAATTGTATATTACACTACTATGATTACATATATGCGCATGGTACATTAATAGGATGCCACGGCTTAGAATTTAACGTGCACCGATAATATGTTATATTTGTAATATTTATGCCGTGGATGCCGCGCGATAGTACGGCGCGTTTTAACCTTTGGCCCACGAGGCAGCCTCAAAGCTTTTGCTAATAGTTTTCCCTAACAAATCTCCCTCTCTAAGGTTTCCCGAATAAAATCTGAGCGGCTCCGAGCACGAGGCTTACATTTGTGTTTGTTGGTTCTACGTCATGTTTACATAAGACATTCAAATTCAAAGTTTTGGACCTCAATGCTTCATGGTATAGGACCTCTTTTTCCGCAGCCCAGTTTGTCGCTGGCTTTTCGCTCCAGAATGGCAAATAACATTTGTTTCCCGTGAAAATGTAATTCCAAGAGATTTTTAAAACTGCTGAGTGTGTTTTTTCTTTGTCACATAATTTGGCTTGTTAAAAGTTGCATTCAATACTATTTCTTCCGCCTGTTTGATTCGGTTTGATGAGAGCTTCCCAACGTCGTTCTCTTCGTGGGTCTAGCTGCTTAGTTTGGAAGTCGTAAAGGAGGCCTCTGAGACCCCTTCTCGTAGAGTAGGGCGAAGGTAAAAAGTTTGCAATTTGCAGGTGAGAGTGAATGTCCGAATTATCCGTATTCTTTTCGTGTTGCTGTACTGGACGCGTTCTAAAAAAGTGTTCAAGATCTAGACACAGAGGAATGTTGCTAGACACGCCACAACGGTGACTAGCATAACTCTCGTTTGTCTTAAAATTAAGATCAGGTTCGCATGCGAGGATATGATGTTGTTGAGTAGCATCTGAAATCTTTATTTAAGTTTACAGAAAGGTCAGATTTTGCCCATGACATAACACGATCTGTTAAATGGCAAAAACCGCCCACCCCGTGGCATTGCCCGTTTACCATAACAGTTGCCAACTATCAAGGTTGTCTGAGCTTCTATAAAGCTCTTAGTATGGCTACCCCACGAAGCATTGAGCTGAGTCATCTGGTTGGGAAGCTCATTCCCCTTGATTCTGTATGATCTCTTGGCCAGCCTTCCCTGGCCTCCGCCACCAGGTTAATGGCAGGCAAAAGACAGTCCCAGGTGTAGTTTTGCGAGAAAAACTACCGCGTGCCTGTTCCATAAGTATAGCGGTGTTGAGCCACCGCACGAATATGGTCCACTACAGCAACGACCCATGAATGCGCATCTTGAATGTGATTCGTATTTTTGGACTAAAGGCCCTTCAGCCAATAATACGAGCGCTATATGGTGTGTCCTGTTGTCATTTCAGCAAAACGTTGTCTCGATATTACTTTAGGACACGGTATAACACTTCTTTATGTCGGATTTTGAACTAGGCTTGATGGACATTTTCTCCCACCGCCACATTCATCATTCATTCAACACCTAAATTGACAACATCCTTCCATTCCCGTTTCGGTCAAGCGATGATATACGATTCAATCAGCCGATGGTACGACCCATCATTCAACTAAGCTAGCTTTGTTTCGTGGGGCTTTTACGGTAATTCCCCATCCGATTAAAGCCAAAAAGGAGCTGGGAAATGGATTCCCAGCATCCGATCGAAGGCTCGTAAAAAAGACGGCATGGTCGAATGATTTTTTGCTGCGGCAGCAGAAATAATTCAATCAGCACACGTGATAAATCGGGGAATCACACTATCACTGAGGCGACCCACGCCGTAGCATCTTCCAATCAGGTTCGCAATGCTTCACCTCTTCACCATATGTCCCTCTGGCAATCACAACGTGACCTCGCGTCTGATTGAGGGCACACTCTGAGCAATGTCGACCTGGGTCGCAGATTCGCCGTCGGAACTGGCATCGCCGGCCAGGTGGCCCTCAACGCCCAGGGCCTCAACATCGTCGACGCGTACGCCGACGACCGCTTCAACCGCTCCATCGACCAGCAGACGGGCTACGTGACGCGCTCGCTGCTCTGCATGCCCATCTTCAGCCGCGGGGTCGTCATCGGCGTGGTGCAGATGGTCAATAAGACAGCCGGCGCCTACTTCACCAAGGTTAGCTCTGAAGCTCCGGCCAGTGTCGGCAGATTCTGGCGGAACGCCGAGCCGGAGGAGGTGGGACCGTGTGCAGCTTAAGTTTTATGCAGCATTTCCACTGCCTTTTGTCGTCAAGCACGACTTAAATTGTCTTGATATCATATAATAAAATTATAATAATTTATCACATTCAAAAACAACATCTATAGCATTGCATCGCAAACGAATGACTGCGGAGTGCCAGTTTGCTCTTTTCACTGCCTATCTTTGTATTTGAAATCGGTGGTACCGCTTCCTGACAAGGTCACGTGAGCGGTGGCCAGATCAGCATCTGTGGTGTAATTGATTACGTAATCGTGATATCCATATGATGAGCCTGAACCTCAATTTGACACAAGTTATGTTAAAGGCTCATTTATGGTTTCGCAGATTTCCAGGCGTTCATCCCAGTGTGGATGTTGCTGTAGGAAAAGCGAAGTGATGACAAAGGAAATTAGTGATTGCCAGATTGAGGGACTTACAATATTGGAAAAAAACAGGGGATTGGTAGCTTTTGTCTACACATCATGAAGCGTGTTGATCGGAACTGACATTTCACGTTGACGAAGAATGCTGTCGACTGAGTGTTAGGCTAGTCCGCGGGCCTGTGGGAAATGCTGATTGCGTGTACATGACGATTGGACACGGAATGTTCCGCGTTATATACGACATCCCTACATTGCTGAGCATGTTCTGTGTCACCACTCATGCATTAATCGTGTTGCCGTAATATGCACAAGGGGCCTGGTACATTACCATGACACCCCATACATTTCAAGCACAGCACGTTGTTTACGACTTGCTCATATGGCTGAGGCGCGAACTTGGAGGCATGAGAGATGCAATTAGCCAGTGATGTGAGAGTCTGAGCCTCCTGAACTAAATGTGGGGCGCTGCTCTGCATCACCTGAGAATATTGTGCCCACCATTTGCGCCTCAGAAACTTGATGATTGAACTAACGCGACGTTCGCGGTCATTCCGTTCAGAAGCCAACTCTGGCCGATTGGGACCTGTCGGCGAGGCTTCAGAGCGCTGGCCACACGACGGGCATGATGGGCCCGATAACGTGCACTTAACGCACTGATGCTGACTGAAATTGACTTGCAAACCGGCGGCGCACGGCGCCAGCAATATTCGCTTCCATTAGCTCGGTGGGGAGGCACCTCCCGTGGTTGATGTGCTAATGCCGTGCCTCGCACTGCCGTCCTGCGCCACGCCATCCCGGCTGCGTTGAATGATGGAATGTAACATCATCAGCTATTTGGCCGTGCCAGCTTGAATATCTATAGCGTTATTACGACTGATACCACGAACCAAGTGAGGTTTACTTGAACTATGCTATAATATTCAACTTGGGCAGCCCCGAAAGTCTGAAAGACCGTCACCAAAGCCTGACGGCATTCTATAAGCTGCGACATCTTTGAAGCCACTTATGGCAGGTTCATGGAGTTCGCACAACAAAAAGCGAAGCTTGGAAATGTGTATTGTATCACTGGTACACATTTGCATTCAAGCTATTTCATCAGGTGCGTTTCCACTGCACGGTTGTAATATCCCCACGTTTTCACCCCTCTCCCTTCACTTGACGTGGAAAACGTAAAATTTTGATATTGGGGTTCATAACTGGACCAGAACCCGCCAATCCGGTGTCGCAGCGACACGAGTCTGACAAATTTTGACGGAGAAAGCACGCAAAAATCGGAGCGGCAAAAGTGCGAACCGATGTGAGCTAACGATCTCTCGCTCTTGAGTGCAAGCCAAGCGAGTCGCTCTGGGGCGCGGTAAAGATTGAGGTTAAATAGCGATCGAAAATGGTTATCATTGAGTTATTAGAGTGCAGTTGATTACATCTCATTCCTTCCCGCTCAGTGAAGCATTTGATGAGAACAATGCTTTTGCTGCCAATATGACGGATATTGGTATGAGGCCGGGAAATTGGAGGTGTGAACAGCACATCGGCCAGTAATTCTAGCGCCAAGTGTAATGCGTCGTAACTGTCGTTATGGTTACGTCGTCGTATGTGTTCATATGATCATATGTTATATATGTTCATATGATCTTATGTTATATATGTTCATATGATCATATGCCATATATGTTCATATGTTCCCGTCCGTATATGCAGATTCTGAAATTCCTTGGAAAAAGACCGACAGAGATCTGGAGGATAACAAAGGAACCCGTGCCGACATATTGCCATGAGATCCTGGCACCAACCGTCGCAACAGCAGAATATGTGAATTACGACTTCAAGATGGACGTATTTTCAACCGAGGCGTGACTGTGATAAATCCCTTTGTCCACGGAACAGATTTGTTGGGAATTGGACACAAAGGCGCACCACCAGTCTACCAGAACAAAGAACACGATAAAAGAATCGCAGAAGCGATTAATACGATGTGTCAGCCCGGTAAATTCTCTCCTGGAAAGAAATGGTCGTAACATTTTTGTATATGTCATGCTATTGTCACAGACTCACCTCTTGGAAACCCTTTGATCTTTTTCGCCACCGAAGACATCCACGGCATATGGAAGTCGTATGTGAGGACAGTGACGAATCCAGGCAAAATACCCACTCCTCACGGAGCATCAAACACAAATCCAGGTGAAGCATCCGCTCCTCACACAGCATCAAACACATATCCAGGTGGAGCATCCGCTCCTCACGCAGCATCAAACACAAATCCAGGTGAAACATCTGCTCCTCACGCAGCATCAAACATGAATCCAGGTGAAACATCCGCTACTCACACAGCATCAAACACAAATCGTCCCTTGAGTAGCTCGGGTCGAGCTCACAGGAGTTCGTCTTGAGTGCTTCTGGAAATTTCCTATTGCTGGCCTCCTCCCTTATTTACGTCCACACCCCTGAACCACTTTGGCATATCCTATGTTGGAACCGCATTCTCGGCTCCTAGAAGGGCTAAATGTCCACAGCCAACTTATTTGATGCTGCTCGTATGCTCTCCATATGTGCGTCTGTTTTCTCTGCCGGTCTCTCCTGCACACCGTATGGTGTCGCCGCTGATGTTCCCTTTCAGTTTTGGACAGCCCTCACCCATTCGGAACTGGCAGCCGCCCCTGCCGTTCGGCGGCCGCCGGCCATTGTCGCTCGTTCCATCAAGACGCGTCCGGGTCAGCATTACAAGGTCGCGGTGACACCGGGTCACGCGTGCGCGGGGAGCTCCCGGGGCGGCTCGGGAGGCCTGGACCAGAGCGCCGACTTCTCGGTGCTTGCTCTGCATATATGTAATGAGCTATGCATATCTCACGCCAGAAGAAAATGGAGAGGACGCCACGCGTGGAATCCGTGTCGTAACGCCGAGTCGGCGGCGTAGGAGGTAGCGGCACTTTCCTACTTTTTTCGGGAACAAAACTGGACATTTCTGCGTAAAATGAAGCATAGATAACTCGCATCCCGCCACTCGCCTAGACCCGCGCTGGCCCCGTCTCCTCTCATCAGCGTCGGACCGCGGCACTCTTCGGCGCTGAGCTGGCCCGTCTCCTCTCAACAGCGTCGGACCGCGGCACTCTTCGGCGCTGAGCTGGCCCGTCTCCTATCAGCAGCGTCAGACCGCGGCACTCTTCGGCGCTGAGCTGGCCCGTCTCCTCTCAGCAGCGTCGGACCGCGGCACTCTTCGGCGCTGAGCTGGCCCGTCTCCTCTCAGCAGCGTCGGACCGCGGCACTCTTCGGCGCTGAGCTGGCCCGTCTCCTCTCAGCAGCGTCGGACCGCGGCACTCTTCGGCGCTGAGCTGGCTGCATTAAAGCGGTGTCAGCCACCACAGAGCCAATCGTCTGGCTGGTCCCCACAGACGCCGGAATATTGCTAACGCGGCGGTCGAGGCCGGCACTGAGTGGGTGGCCTGGTGTCAGCTTTCCCTTGATCTCGCGTTTGCTCGCGCGATGCCGCCACGCATGGGTAGGTGTTGTTCGGCGAAACGCATTGCTCTAGACGCCTGCTTGCGCGGTGAGGTGTACTCAGTGTAGGTGATACGTGCAAGTTTATTGGCTAATGGCACATGATCCCTTGGATAGGCCCGGAACGGACATCCCAAATGCTTTGCGATAGTATTGCTTGCGTCGCCAAATATCTTCTGGATCGGGGTGCACGCTAAAAACTTGTTTGCGCTTGTCCTGACTTGACTGACTTGTCCTGACTTGCCCTGACTGACCTGGCCTGACCTGGCCTGACTTGGCAAGCGATGCAGTGTATGTCACCGGCTTGACGGAGAGCTCAGCGTCGCCCCCGCTCCAGACACACAGCCCTGAGGCGGTCCTCGTGTTTTGCTGCGCCATAATGTCTCGGGCCTGCCTCCCGGTGACACTCGGGGCAAATATGAACGCTCGTTCCGTGAGAGCGGCTCCAGCCGTCTGGCTGCCGCTGCGGGCCGCTAACAAAGCTGGCGCGTGACGGAACATACATAGCGATACCATGTGAGACACGCGCCGGCAGTAATTACAGCGCGCCCAGACGGAGTTGAGCTCGGGAGGCGACCGCTCCGAGACAGCGAGTCCCCGCGGACCGAAGGGATCAGCACCGTCTGGCATACTGCCGGAGGTGCGGCGCCAGCACTTTCACCCTTCGCCACGTCGCCATTTATTACAGCTCAAGAGATGCCACTCTAAAGCCCAGTCTCGGGACGGAAGCTCGCATGTATTGCCTCCAGGAACCGTTCGGGCTCGCTGCATTTTGGGCCTGGCTATATATAGAGCTCCAGGCGAGGTGGCTGGCCGCAGCTGGTGCTCATCAAGTTCAATATACAGCGCGCTAGGAATACTGCTAAGTGATTCACCGACGCATACTGATGGCATGGAATCAAACGCGTCAGCCGACCATGCGGGCGTCGGAAGAAGTCAAAGTTTCCTGTGACTAGAACTGAACACAGACTTATCGCGCAGACCCCGACAACGCTACATTTTCACCAGGTCCACCCGCAACCAGCGATGTGGTCCTCCCGTTTTGAGTATGCGTGCCTCGCCCTTCCACATAGTCCGGCCCTGAGGATTTCACGGTGTTACCATTCCGTGCAGAATACCGTCGTCACGGGGGTGGTGCGAACGGCACCTCAGTTCGGTTTGTTCCACAGCGGGATTCTGTTCTTACTTCGACCACCATCACTTGTGTGAGTTCTTTTGGCTGTTGATCTCAAACAGGGTTTTCTTTTTGCTTAGAGCTTTAGGTTGTTGTTATCAATGCGTGGAGCACGATGAATAATATTTTTGTTTCATTTTTGTACACACTAGCAGTCCGTAAGGTGCAAGAACTTTTAACCCACTGCACCTTTCAGTTGGTCTGCCATTTGGGGGAAAACTGCAGAAGAAAAGAAGCCCATGGTTGGCGACTTGTATCGTTTCCGTTCGTTATATGAACCTGCCAACCTTGGCTACCCTGCGCACGTTTTCCAAATTTCCCGAGTCAATCCGCCATTCTCGTATGCCGTTGTAACCCACTGTCGTATGCCATTACGTCGAGGCACGTGGTGTTCTGTCGTCGGTGTGTGTTTTCGTCGCGTCAGATGTCGTTAAGTCGCGGTCGTTTATTGATGCAGCATCGCCGCTGCCCCAGGCCACCGTCACCCGTGATATAATGTACCTCGACAGGCGGACGAGGAGAACTTCGAGTTTTTCGCTGTGTACTGCGGACTGGCTCTGCACCATGCCAAACTGTACGACAAGATCAGGCGCAGCGAGCAAAAGTACAAGGTGAGTTCGTTATCAAGCACCCGCTGCGTCCACGGGGTATACGTAACTATGAATTTATGTTTAACGTAGGCGGGAATTGCATGTTCTGTTATGTTTTTGTTTTTGTTTTGTACTCGCGGCAACTCAAATGAGTAGCATTTCTATTGTCTACTTACTGTTGCGGTCAAGACAGAATGTAAGCCACATTTTTTAACAAAAGTTGCAGCATTATCTTTAGTTATATTGTCACTCTCATCTTGTTTTGATACAGACTACAAACACGTTTTGAGAACCCCTGAGCGCGGGTTTGTTCGCATAGTTTTCAGGCACTTACCACGGTATACAGCGTGATGTCTCGCATGGCAAGTAGTGTTACGTTGACCCTTCAAGATTGGCTTAAAAGCTCGTCAAATTTTATATTTTCTCCTAAACACAGATACATCGAACGCCAGACGTTATAGATTTTATTGGAAATGGTGCAAACTAAGCATTTATTTGGGGTTCAGCATTGCTGATGTATTATATGCCGATCCAGAGTGCACAAAGCACATGTGAGGCTCCCGAGTAAGAGGCTGAGAGTCCTGAGAACCCGCCCACCCCCCCTCCCCCGGTTGAGTCTCTGCTTGGAAGCGTGCGTTTTTACCTTGGGCCTTGTGTTGAAATTAATCAAACAAGCCCAGCCATAAGCACTAAAACTTGCTTACCACATGTGTACCTTTTTTAAAAAATGCTCATAGAGGTACTATTTTTGAACTTTGTGATTGGCCCAGTGCGCAAAGGTCTGTTACCTAAAAACTGGCTGTTTCAAATTTGAGCCAGTGCGTCACATGAACCATGTGATACTCTCATTCCAAAAGACAAAGTGCGCCTCGAAAAGAGCTTCTGTGGTTAACGCCTAGCGGTGAAAGCAAAGCCACAGTATAACGTTTCGTTGAATTCGCGGCATAATAGCTCCATATTCGCATATTTTTGTCTAAACAGTGTGTCGCGCTTTCGTAGGATTTATTACCCAAACCTTTTGAAACATTGGTGTGCTGCAAATATTTCAGAACACACACGTTGGAAAAGCAAAGCACTAAGCTATTTGGAAGGATTTCGATCGGACTGGTATCGCTGATCATATTGCACATGTCTGATGTAATTGTACGCGTCTCAAGTAACAATAAGTGCTAAGTACGAAAAAGGTGGGATACTCCCTTTAAACGGGAAAAATTAATACAAAAGTGGCTTTACATCACACGTTGATGTTTATTATATTTTAGATAAGATATAATAGTTATTATACAGTGTAGGGCAGGATGAGACAAAACTTGTTGAAGATCTATTTGTATTCTACGTAATATCGTTTGCAGTGCAGAGCCCCGAAGTTGTTTTGTGTACCCAGGGTTTCGTGAGACAGGTTGAAGACACATGGGTCCCGAGGGTGAACCCCAAATCCCTGGAATCGTTCGATAATCTTCACATCCTTGGAAATTCATCATCGTTTCCACTGCACTTCTCAAAACATTATCAAATCGCAGGAATGGATTTGGTGCAGGAAGATCGTGTCTAACCAGCCAACTGCGGCACGTGTGTAGATGGGACAAAATCATCGTGGATGTATTTTGCTCGTGTCAGGATAGACCGTTGCCCCATCACAGCATCATGAGATGTTGTGATGGGGCAACATGTTGTGATAGGAAGTGCTCAGCTACCACAAAGGATACAATGGGCTTTGCGCCGCATTTGATTAATCTGTGTCTGCTTTCATCATTAGAGTAATGGTTGCTCCAGTTTTTGAATTCCACATGTAAGCTGCGCATGTGTTTTAGCTCGCACTATCTGCCCTACATGCGGAAAGAAGTCAGAATTGTTGAGATGATTACGTTAGTCTCGGCACTGACGGCACACGTATTGAAAAGTCGATAAAACAGATATGGAAAAAAGGTTTCACTCCAAATAGCCACTCTGAAAGCCATGACGTACAACTGTTGTGACCAGGACACTGATCTGCAGGCGTTTGACCTGAGGGGCGCCTCTCCCCCGGTTAGCCTGTTTCTCATACAGCACCATGAGCCGCGATGCTTGTTTGTCGCGTGTGACGTCAGCCGGACCGGCAGGTCGCGCTGGAAGTGCTCAGCTACCACAACAGCTCCACAGACAGCGAGGTGGCCGAGTACAAAGGCACCTTCAACATGTCGCCGTCAGCGGGCCTCAACGAGTGAGTAGCGCGTGCCGCCGGCCTGGGCCGACCCGGCGCGCTGCCGGCCTGGGCCGACACGGCGCGCTGCCGGCCCCCGGGGGCCGACCCGGCGCGCTGCCGGCCGTGTTCCGCCGTCGCTCCGTCAGCTGCCGTCCGGGGCCGACCCGGCGCGCTGCCGGCCGTGTTCCGCCGTCGCTCCGTCAGCCGCCGTCCGGGGCCGACCCGTTCGGCCGCCACTCCGTCAGCCGCCGTCCGGGGCCGACCCGTTCGGCCGCCGCTCCGTCAGCCGCCGTCCGGGGCCGACCCGTTCGGCCGCCACTCCGTCAGCCGCCGTCCAGGGGCCGACCCGGCGCGCTGCCGGCCCTGTTCCGCCGTCGTTCTGTCAGCCGCCGGCTCCGACCGACGCCCGACCCGGCCCTGCCGCGTCATTTTCGTTCAGTTTCCGAGACGATCGATGTCCGGTGACGGGAGCATCCTAGAACGGAGCGGCAGCATGTTCCTCCGGTAGGCAGCATGCTCCTTGACAGGGGTATGCTAGAACTGAGTGGCAGCATGTCCCTCCGGTAGGCAGCATGCTCCTTGACGGGGGCATCCTAGAACGAAGTGGCAGCAGGCGTTGAGCGCGAGGTCAGTAAGCGGTGTCTGTACACTGTTTGCCATTTTATTGCGGTGAACTCGGTCCGCCTTTCGTGCCTTGATTATATGAAGAGTTCAGTGAGGTCATCGAGAGACAGGACCACTGCTCCTTTTAAATAACCGACAATTATTAAATACATCGGTAGACTAGATACCTCGGCTACTAAATACCTCGGTGGACTAGACAGTTCGGATATTAAATACCTCGGTAGTCTATACAATTTGCATATTAAATACCTCGTTAGACTAGACAGTTCGAGTTTTAAATGTCTCGGTAGACTAGACAGTTCGGATATCAAATACCTCGGTAGTCTCTACAATTTGGATATTAAATACCTCGGTAGACTAGACAGTTCGGCTATTAAATACCTCGGTAGACTAGACCGTTCGGGTATTGCATGATGATGTAGGCGCAGGCAGTCAGGGACGAGGAGGACGGTTTCACCGAATACCAAACACCAATACCAAGTGACTCCAGTACATACCGTGCAGGGTGGGTGCAGTACATACCATGCACGCTTCGCTTTATCTGGTGCTTTCTCAACGGTCTCTTTAAAGTTTTGCTGCTGAAATATTGTGTATGTTTACACCACACACCTCCTCAGGTATTCTGTGGAACTCTCAATGATAAGTGGGAGATGTGTTACGGTGTGACCTGCTAAAAGGGAGCTAGAGAAGTTCTTTAATCTAATGGTAATACATGGAATGCTGGAGCATTTCGATAGCGAAATAACTGGCTTTGCTAAATATGTTATGATATTTCCGGGCTTCATGCCAAGCTCTTTAGGTTTGTGTACAGTCGGCTCTCGACCCCTATACGAGACTGCAGTATGTGGTCGGGGAATTTCATGATGCTTGGCTGTTGCCAGCGACAAATTTACTAAATGCCCGTCAATGTTGTGGAGGCTTGAGGCATTTTTCCATATTTGTGCCCTTGCTATGTACGCATTCCTAGGCGTTTGCAGCCTGACGGTACGGAGGAGACCAACAACATCCAACGTACATTCTTCTTGAGTCACGCTGTGTTAAGGTAATCCAGGCATGCACAACTCCATAGAAACGTTACACGAACACCGCCACCTCAAAAGTTACGGAGTGCGCAAGGTCGAAACAAAACATGATTACCAGATTATGCGCGTCTGGCGTACGATTCTTGTCATCAACGGTGGGTCAGGTGGGTCAGCCCGCCCGCTAGTGTCAATTCTGACACCGCCAGTCTGGCAGCGAGTCTGACGTCATAAAGACGTTTCACAGCGCAATGAAACGCTGACGTATTCAATGACGTAGCCACCAAATAGTGATATTGTGTTGCCTAAAGCAGTGCAAGTCTGTAATGCATAATAGTCTTTTACACTTAAAAGCAAACGAATAGTTAAAAGTAAGGTTATGTCATAACATTTGGTGCTTGCCTCAATATCTTCACAAATGGAGCATCTCCTCAAACGTTGACAATATATTTACGAAGAGACTGGAATAGAGATCGGGTAATTCGATGGGACTTACACCGGTTTAAAAGGTAACACAGCACGGAGGCCACCACGTGAACAAGGACATAGCAAAATAGCTTCAAAAGATGGCCTGGCAACGGACAGCCATCCAGGATTTTAAGGCGTGCTAATAGAATTTCCTCTCCTCTTTGCTGAGGACGCTCTAAACAAAATATCTCGACGTCCTTGCGAGACGCCATTGCTGATTCCAGCTTGAGTAGCGCCTAGAGTGCTTGAAGAGAATGGCTCGCATATTGTATGATGTTATGCCTCAGCAGGTATATCGCGCCTGTGCGTACAGTATTCTGGGGCGCGGCAGACGCGCCAGCGTTGGCTGCGCCATGGCGAGCGGTGCTCTACGGATACCCTGACCCAGTCGGGACAACGACGCTGGTGATTCTGGGCACAGCTGAATGACCCCCGAAGGTTTTTCCAGAATGGTTTCCGAACGGCGAGACGCAGCCGCGCCGTTCGGCCGCGCCAAATTTCGCATTGCTGTAGACAATTGAACAGCGAATCGTTTGGTGCTAAGAATTTGGGTGCATCTTGTAAGGTTGCTGACGTACGCAGATCAAAGCCAGGCCATGGATTTTACGAAGTCAATTTCTAGGGAATCGTTTAATCTAATGCAACAGGGGTGTTAGATTGCTGCATCGTCCATGCATCTTCGTCAGAGATGCATGGACGAAGCTATGCATCTCGGATGTATTTTTTTAGGTAACACAACAATTGAATGAACAGACTGCATCGATCTGAGGTCAGTTTTAATGGTCGGACCAAGGTCGGAACCATTCCATTTTATTACTTTATGGCTGGCTGTATAAGATAGTTTGTGGTGCTCATTTCAAATTTATTAATAACAGGAACCACATTATACATCCTTCATGGACTTCTCAAAGGTCAGAATGGTCACTGACCTAAAATGGCCTAGGTCAACATTTTGCTTTTAGGAATATACTGCCTAGCGCAGTCTTTGTCGCCTATTCAAACGAAAAGCTCAAAACAGTGTGGTATGCTTTTGGTCACCATGACCTTTGAAATATCAAACAAGGTCACTGACCTGAAATGAGCATGTAACTTTTACCCTAGAATAGGTGTCTAGGTTCTGGGGCACCTTGGAGACCAACCCAGAAATTGACCTTGTTTGACCTTATTTGACTTGAATGTCATAGTCTAGGAATCTGAAACCTTAACCTTAGTGAGTTCAGGTACAGGTCAATACTTTCTATGAATTTGGTGTTTCTAGCTTGCTTAGTTCCTGAGATCTCAGGTGTCAAATTAACCCCAACCCGAGCGAAGGGTATCCAGCCGGCCAGTTGGATACCCTTCCGGTTTGTACCCGGGCGCGTGTTAAAATAGTTTGCACGACGTAGTCTACACAGTTTCCCGGGCGTCAAGCACAGAAACAAGAGGTCTTAAGTTTAACAAGGGACATTACAGTGAAATGCGCTGATATAATATATAGGGTCACGGGACATAGCGCCGTAAGTGAAGGCTTGCACTGTCGTTTGTGTTGCAAAGCACAGACGGCAAACTCTCTTGTTTTAGCACCATAGATTGGTTCGACTGTGTTCCAGTTCAGGCTGATCATACTGTGCTAAGTCGTACACTCATGACAAGCGCCTGGGCCACTACGGGTCTCGCGACCGGGAAGAACAAGCAACTTAGACCCGACGGCCGCACCTGACGTAGCCCCACTGGACCTTGACCCGACCTTCACCTTTGCCTATGTCGACGTTACGCCATGCTAATGACGTGGGAGAACACGCTCCCTCGTTTGGTGCCAGTGATAAGCTTGCCTTATATATATGGGCCGTAAGGTCTATAGGTTCGTGTCTCAGATGTGGTGCAGGCGGGTGGAGGTCGTGCAGAAGGGGCCGGAAAACCCCGGCGGCAATCTCCTCTGCTGCCGGCCCGCGACCCGGGAGAGCGAGTGACACGGGCTTCGCTGACGCTTCACGGCTCAGGTGGACACACTGACTCCCTGAATAGGGCCGAATCTTTATGTTCAAGGTCGAACACCATGTCACAATGGACATGAAAGCATGATCAGCTTTCAGATCGAACTCGCTTCACGCCCAACCGGTAAAAGATGGCATTGGAAGCATGCCAAAACAGCTCCATGCGCCGAGTCAGAAAAGATATCAAGGATCGGACACGGTGTCAGGGCACACGCCGAGGCGCTAACATTGAGTCAGAAGGCTGGTCAGACATGGCACCAAATCAGAGGGCAGGTGAAGGTCGCGCACGAAGCCAAGCAGATGGCTGGTGTTGGACGCGGACCGGGCCGTGGGCCGGAGTCAGGCGTCGGGAGCGAAGCCCGGAGTACGGGACTGGATCGAGCCCCGGCCAGCAGCTCAGAGAGCAACTCTGGCTGCGGCTCGGCGGCCAGTGGAGGCGGCCGACCTGGGCGGCGGCTCGGACCCTGAGCCCGGGCACGCCCGGGACTGACCCAGCTGCCGATGCGGGGTAATAACCGTGCCGGAGTCGTATCGACCGGTCGGCCGCTCCTGTCCTACGCCGTCGACCGCCGGCGCCGCAACGGGCCTGGCGGAGATAGCCGCGCTCCCTGCCGGATCCGGGCCGGCTATAGCACCGCTCCGGTCCGGATCCGGGATCGGCGCCCGGGACAGCATCCTGTGCGCGACCGGGCTCCAGATGGCACGGCTCCGGTTCCGCGCCGAGACGGACTGCCGGGAAGCACGCGGTCGGGGACCGGGCCCGGAGACGGCACCGCCCCTGTCCGAGAACGGAGTGAGGAGCCGTTAGGGCGCTGTCAGCCACCGTTTTCCGGTGCGCCGGTCGGGCCGGGCCTCGGCATAGCCCACCCCGTCTTGACAACAGCCCAGCGGACCGCCAGGGCCGGCTGGAACGTCGAGTAATCTTCTTGCTTGGCACCACTAGGATGTGCAATTTAGTCATTTCGTTGTCAGTTATGTCGTAGGCCCTCGATTGTTCAGTTGTCATCCGCGCTCGATGTGCTCAATTGAAAAGCCCGTCTTTCCGGAAAGAATCCCCGTTCATAGCGAGCGTTGAGGCCACGGCAGCAACAGGTGGTCCGTGCTGAGCGTCCGTTCGAGCTTATCTCCTCCAGCCAGCCGCTCGTGCACCCACAAGGAACCGACCAGCCCACCGCTCCAAGGAAGCGAACGACCAGCCCTTCTGCCGGCATGACCGAGCCCACGTCTGTAGCCGAGCGACGGCAGATGGAAGACGTCGCCGAAATGAGTAGCGCGACCGTGTGGTGGCCGGGGTCCGCACGACCGCCCCGGTGGCCAGGGTCCGCACGACCGTCCGGTTTGCCGGGGTCCGCACGACCGTCCCGGTTTGCCGGGGTCCCCACGACCGTCCGGTTTGCCGGGGTCCCCACGATGGGGCAAGGCGCTGGCCGGCTCGGCGAGATTGGATTTTCGGCCGCGTGATGCGATCTTCGAGACGGCGGCGGGGCCACGCCGCTACCGTCTCGGGGCTGGCGTCAGTCGGCGCGCCTCGGCTCGACACCGTGCGGTGCCCGACTGTCGCGCCCTGTTCAGGCCTCGCTGACGTCATTAACCGCAAACTGCGTGACGTCAGCCGTCGGGCGATAGAAGTCCGCCGCTGGCGGCTGACGTCATCGCCGCGCCGTTTGAAAATGGGCTGTCAGGGTTCATCGTGTGCGTGCAATTCTCATTTCACGGACTGAACGGGCTGGAGGAAGTGTTTGGCGAATGCTGATTGGTTTTGGCTTTCTCACCTTCCCGAACAGTTATATTCTGTTGTACTGAGCTTACTCCCGGACGTTGATATTCTGAACGCGTTGGCGCACGTGGTCACGCTTAAAAACTTAATCAACCACACGATATGTAGTATTATGTCACATCACCAGTGTGGGCCAGAGTTCCGCAGCATGGTTTCATCAATGACAGCCTCTTTTTAAGGCGGTATGTTTTTGATCGGCCGCGGTTGTAGTGCGTCACGTTTCAACAATGACACAGCAAGCTCATCAACGGCGTGGATAACTGGCGAACGTTCATTCCAGCTACAACTACAACGTGTTCGAGACGTCTGAAACGGACAAGATTCGCGATGCCGTCTTCATGTTCACCGATCTCTTCGGCACCAGTCGGTTTGACATCGACTGTCTCATCAGGTGAGTCAAGCCAGTTGCGACTGTCACCTCACACCAGTGTCAAATTAAACTTAACGTGCTTTTTAAGGCGATGAGAGAGGAAGCTTGTTGAAGACTCGCGTATGTGCACGCTTTCGGTATGGTAAAGGCATTGGGAACACTTCATATGCAAGGTCACATGTCCTCATGCTGACTTTGCACTCATTTGGCATCATTGAAAGATGTCCCGTTTGATGACGGCATCGGCAACGATATCGTATATCAACCAGGTTGTGCGAAAGTCTAGAAAATGTCAAGTATTGCAGGTCTGTCTGGGCGTCAGAAGCAGGATGAAACCACAACTGTGGCAACATTTGACTATTTTTGGAATGACGCATAGAATGCTCTGAGCCTGGGTCTTAATAACCGGAACAATCATTTCCGCCGATTCACCGACGGGCTTCCAAGACGCCTGCTTCAAACACCCTGGCTTAAGTTATAAAATGGAGACGAAGTTCACCATTTCTGTCGCTGGGAGTGGATCGGACTGCCTGAACTTTGGCGATGACGGGTTGGTAATACTCTGCGCTTGCAGATTCACTATAACGGTGAAGAAGAACTACAGGAGGGTGCCATACCACAACTGGACGCACGGCTTCGCTGTGGCCAACATGATCTACTGCATCATCAAGCACAACCCGGACGTGTTCAAAACGATCGAGGTACTCACGCGTCTTTCCTCAAAACCCAGGGACTTTTGGAAACAAGACCAGGAAATAGCTCGGCGTGTTGCATGCACTCAACATCGCACCAGATGTTGTAAGATGTTTAAAGCATCTTTAGAAGCTGGCACCTATTAATTGCAGCTTTAACGTGCCATGTTGCTGAACTACTTGCCGGTAAGATCTTGCTGCACGGATTCGGTTTTCTTGGAATGCATATGTTAGATTGAGGTTATGTAAAAGCTTCCCCAAGTTTGTATGAGAGCTAGATGGGTTGGAAGACAGAAAGAGGTCATCTTGCTTTCAGTTTAGATTGAAAACCGCTTTGAAGTGCTTTTTAGTTCCTAATGTTATGCGCAGTGCATTGGTTTGCTTCGCATTTGATGGTTGGATGCTTCACCGTACATACTTCGGATACGTTATGCGCGTTTTCTTTCTCGTAGTGCCACTGAGAGAGAAGACCCCTTTCTCCACCATCCATCTTCCGCATCCTGAGTAGTGCGGGCCGGGTAGCCTGGCCGCCGCCGGTGCCGGTGCCGGTGCCAATGGTGCCTCAGGAGTGCGGGCCGGGTAGCCTGGCCGCCACCGGCGCCGGTGCCGGTGCCAATGGTGCCTCAGGAGTGCCTCAGTGTCCAGGAGACTCCTCTGAGCTGGGCCGGGTAGCCTGGCCGCCACCGGCGTCGGTGCCGGTGCCAATAGTGCCTCAGGAGTGCGGGCCGGGTAGCCTGGCCGCCGCCGGCGCCGGTGCCGGTGCCAATAGTGCCTCAGGAGTGCGGGCCGGGTAGCCTGGCCGCCGCCGGCGCCGGTGCCGGTGCCAATGGTGCCTCAGGAGTGCGGGCCGGGTAGCCTGGCCGCCGCCGGCGCCGGTGCCGGTGCCAATGGTGCCTCAGGAGTGCCTCAGTCCCCAGGAGACTCCTCCGAGCTGGCCACATCCATATCTCCGCATTAATCGTCTGCACTAGAGATGCGCGACTGTGGTGCCAGCATTCTGGCAGGCGGTGCTGGATTGGTACCTAGCTTATCTGAAATGATGACTGGGGCGACAGTAGCTGCACCTGAACGGTGCTGTGCCAAATTCGGCAAAACTGAACTCATGGAAAGACGGTACCAGTGCTGGAGCCAGCCAAACGTTGCCGGCTACAAGCCGGTACCCATGCATCTTTCCTGGCCTTAATCTGGGGTCGATACCAGCTTTCTTTAGACTGTTTGCATCTCTGGTGTGTTTTGTTACTTGAACCCAGCTCTTCATGAAGCTAGCGAAGCAGTCATATTAGGATTACGTTGCTACCATCGGTTTCGCAAATAGATTGGCCGTAGTTGGTTCGCATTAAGTTTATCACCGATTTGACGTCAATTTTCGGACAGCAAGCGCGCTTTGGTCAAATGTAAGGCCAACGGACGGTGAACACCTTGAAATGGAACAGGACTAGTCTATAAAACGGTACCTGGCCTGGGAGCTGGATGCGTAGCAAGCGTGCGTGAGTGCCCCCATGGTCTGAAATGAAGCGAGTGCCCCCCCCCCCCCCGCCCCCCACCCCATGGTCTGAAATGAAACAGTTCTTCAACGACAAAAATCGAAAACTCAGATGCACGAGATCTTTGTCGCGATCATTGTTAACGTTTAAGGCTGAATCCAATGTCAAAAGTCGGGAACGTCAAAATGCCAAAAATTGCCGACGCTTTATAACCATACTGGTATCCAGTCATGGTCAAACTCTAGAGCTAATGACATTTTGTCTAAAATCGCTGTCCACCGCCGACGCCAAATGAAAGGTCAGCTGACGTCGAGAGCCAGCGGGACCGAGCTTACCGGTCTCCCGGGGCAAAGACACGCTCTATGCACAACAAAGACACGCTCTATGCACAACAGGTGATCTGGGTCGAGTTTGAGGTTCAGTGAGGTTTTCACCGTGATAGCAGCTAACTTCTAATTCCACTTTACTAAAGGTGGTAGAGTTTCAAATGCAGAGCACGGGTAAAACGCAAAACTGAACGGTCTTTGAGGCCATATAGCCATCATAAGACTACAATTACATATGGCATTACAGGCCTCAGAAATTAGCCCGATAGCTGTTCACCCTCCCTTTAAGTCAAACTCATAGTCCGTCCCAATAGCATTAGTTGGTTAGAGCGCCTGCCTTTCGATCCCCTCACCCTCTGGCGGGGTGGATTAGAGTCGCTTTGAGCCCTCGATATTGGCCCTTGACATGCATGGCCTGTGTCGACGCCGGCGGCCGCGTTAAAGGTCACGCGGCCTCAGAGGGCAGGACGGGTCGCGGCGAGCACTGTGTCATGTTAAGCACACGCCACCGATTCTGCCGTTGAGCTGGAATTACACGATCAGATAGCAGAGATCAAGAACTACCTACCGCAACAAGCACAGATCAACGTAAGCTCTGATCCCAGCAACATAGCCATTCAAAAGGATGAATAGTTCAATAATGGGTGCGACTTTGGGTCTAGACTTGTGTGCGCAATGGAATAAAGCCAGCAAAAAAAAAAAAAAAATAGCCGGTGTAAGCACGCGGGATAACCAAGGTTTCTTTAAATTTGCTGTAAGCCTTCTTGGTCAACTTGAAAGATAGTGTTAAAATGTAAAGTTAGTTTCGGGCTCAGACTACGGGAAATGCCAGAACGCCCCAGCTTGCTGGTGTCCCGGGACAAAACCATTATCGACCAATAAACAGTACCGAGTAATCGGATGAGCAAAGCCTACATCATGGTAGCATTTCACGGGCAAGGCCAATTGCTGTTCAGCAAGGTGGATAGTGTTAAAATGTTGGACAGTGGCAAAACCAAAGACCTTACCGCTAAGGCCCTCATGTAAATCTGCGCCAGCTGTTACGTAATGTTTTTTTCAGCGACGTCTGCCCTTAAGTCTTTGCTTGAAGCTCTTGTCATGCATTTTCAGCCAAATTGCTTTTTATTCAGCTCAAATTTGTCTTTACATGCCATTCGCTTTAGGCTGAAAACTCTACTTACCCTAACACTGGAGATGGGCTATCTTTTGAGAGTAGCCTCCGTGTGGAATCATAATAGGTGGAGGGTGTTCTGATGCTTCCCGGCGTTTGACGTTGATTTAACATTAAAGGTTAGCAGCGATTTCGGAACAAAACGTCGCTTGCTCGTAAGCTTGACAATGGCTGTCTTCACATCGCAGTGTCGTTCATTTGGAACGGTCAAGTTTTGTTCCGTTTCACCGGTCGTTGACCTTGAATTTGACCCTGAAGTACAAGTGTCAGTAAACGTACCCTACATTTGTAATTCGGCGAGGCTACCTCTGAGCAAAATGATCGCGAAATCGGGGGTTAGGTTTGAATGCGAATACGAACACGTCGCTGAGATCCTCAACATTGAGCCGAAAGACCCCGTTGAGACACCACAGATCCCACAGGGTCTGCTGACTATAGAGCCAGTCAGACCCACTCAGACCCACCCAGTCAGACCCACTCAGATCCACCCAGTGAGACCCACTCAGACTCACCCAGTCAGATCCACTCAGGCCCACCCAGTCAGACCCACTCAGGCCCACCCAGTCAGACCCACTCAGGCCCACCCAGTCAGACCCACTCAGGCCCACCCAGTCAGACCCACTCGGGCCTACCCAGTCAGACCCACTGAGACCCACCCAGTCAGATCCAGTCGTCACGAGACCGTGCGGTGTGCTGGATGACTTATGTCAAACTTTGTTATGTTTGTGAACGGATTTGCATTTGTGACTATGGGCTCAGCGCAGTTGCTCAGTCGGTCTTTTTGCGTGCACTCTGAAAACGCTTCCAAAGTTGTGCCGATCCATTTCGACTGATGTTTTGCCGGTCTCTCTCCCAGGCAGAGCCACAGGAGAGGAGTGAGGAGGTTACGCACCGCACAGTACTCAGTGTATACCTTAAACGTCATGTTTGAGCGAGATATGAGACAAATGTCCCGACTCATTTTTTGTTTGGGAACCTCTGAACTCCATGGCGGCTGGAGCTGGCGGTTGGAGCTGGCGGCTGGAGCTGGCGGCTGGAGCTGACGGCTGGAGCTGGCGGGCTTAACGTCAGGTGTGTCTGTTCCTATCCGTTGTCAGAGTCTGTCGCTGTACGTGGGGTCGTTGTGTCACGACTTGGACCATCGAGGACGCAACAACAAGTTCATGCTGGACACGGACTCGGCCATCGCCGCCATCTACAGCACGTCCACCATGGAGCATCACCACTTCAACCAGACCGTGACCATTCTGCAGCAGGTGGGCGCGGTATCGCCGGCCACCTTTGAGGTCTCAGGCTGTCCTCTCATGGACGGCGCTCACTTTGGCAGGAGCACGGGGACGGGTACCTGGTTGATGGCCTGTCAGTGTCGGGGACCGGTGCTTGGCTGATGGTCTGTCAGTATCGGGGACCGGTGCTTGGCTGATGACCTGTCGGTGTCGGGGACCGGTGCTTGGCTGATGGCCTGTCAGTATCGGGGACCGGTGCTTGGCTGATGGCCTGTCAGTGTCGGGGACCGGTGCTTGGCTCATGGCCTGTCAGTGTCGGGGACCGGTGCTTGGCTGATGGCCTGTCAGTATCGGGGACCGGTGCCTGGCTGATGGCCTGTCAGTATCGGGGACCGGTGCCTGGCTGATGGCCTGTCAGTGTCGGGGACCAGGCGCTTGGCTGTTGGCTGTCAGTGTTGTGCCGGCCATGAGTGAAGAGGCGGCTGCTGTGCTGTGCAGTTTTCAGTTTCTCATCGTTTGGGCGTTTTCTATTACGCTGAGTTCATGTGGATGCATAGACCTCTTAGGTCTATGCTTTTGGATGGTTTTGGGACGCAATTGGGTGATCGTGGGAGATTG